CGGGTCGTTTTGCTTGCCGCCAGACTGACGGCGCCAAGCGGGTATCGTGGCACAAACCGATCGTCCGACTCGTCGCTTCAAAAACAAACGCGTTTGTTTTCATGCAACGAATCGGGCAATCGACCCGATCCAACCCGGCAAGACCAGACCCGATCCCATCCGCAATAGGCACCTTTTAATGGCCCGGGTCATTGGGCGTCAACCTCTGTCAGAGCCAGATACATGATGTTATGACATCTTCAGATATCCAGGTAGGCCTATCAACGATAGCCTAAATTGGTGTTTAGTCTCTAGACTCTATTGCTTAGTGGGAGCGGGGAAAATGGGGGGGGGGGATTATCAAGGGCCTGACTTACGACAGCCTAAATTGATATTTAGTGTATTATAACTATAAATAGTACATATTATTATACTATTATAACATAACCTCTTTGGTGGCCTATACCCTGATGCAGGGTGAGAAAGGCAGTGATGATGGTGCACTGTTTAGCACCGCGAGTGAACGTCACTGTTGTCTTGACTTGTGGCCATTGCAGGAGCCCGAGGAGGGAAGTACACCATCCGCCTGTGTCCCTCACTGAACAACATTGGTTCTCGATCTGTCGGTAATTTCAAGGTTTTGTGAAGAAGAAGCAGTGGAATGTGTGGCGGCATTATTCTCAGAGAGTAGCAGGGAATTGAGCTGGGCTGTACAACGTTTATTTTGTTGATACGCTGCATAAACCTATCTAGTGGGGTGCATCTGGCAAGATGTAGGCCTACTTTCCAAATGAAAATTGAAAATATGGTCGCTTTTAAGGACAAGCGAGCTAACCCAGATTTCGGGGATTTCCAGCAATCTTGACCTAAACCAAAATAGGGCTTTTCCCTACCTATAGGAGAAGTTTGTTTTCCTTGGTGTGTATATTTGTTTGGTTATAGAGAAAACTCTCCTTGTCTTTTAAAGAAACTGAACAAGGGGCAGAAACTTTATCTTCGGTTTTCCCAAAACAGCATTTTTCGGGACAGCCCCCTTGAGCTTAAAAGCGACCAGATATTGGCATAACTATGATATATACTCTATTCTATAATCTAATATTATATTTGTGAAAGTTCGTCCCTTTGAACGTCTAAAACGCCCGAACCACTTAACTTTCGAAATTTGAAAAACATTAACATTGGTTCTGAATCATTTAAAGCGTGCACAGTTTTATTGAGGAGCCTGAAGTCACTGTACAGTTTAATTTTCAGTTTTTCATTAGTTTCGTTTAGATCTAACCTTGGGAAAGTCCGTCTTCTAAGACGCCATTGTAAATAAGTGAGGCTTCCGTTCATAAGCAGTGCGCATTGACTCCACAATGACCTGACGATCGATTCTTTTGAGTTCGTTCATCGAACGGGTACCCAGCTAGTAATAATACATACAACTATACTATAACTCAATAACTGGCTTTCACAGTTATTACTTTATACACATATGTACAAGATACCCAAAATGTTATTGTAGTTGTTGCATACATGTACAGGTCGCCTCGTGATTTGTCCTGGCTGGGAACACTTCTGGTAGCCATTCCGCTCGCATCTTTCACAAAGGCGGGAGATTCAAGTTTCCCCTGCCTTCCTACATTTTGTCATTGCTTACACTAGCGCTGTCGGTCACCAAAGTACAAAGCTATTTCGAGGGCGGTTGGCGGGTGCTCTGGTGTGGTTTGCTCCTTCTTTCCAATTTACATCTGTCGTCTTTATCTCCCCTCCTTCTTTTTTATATTTGTTACTCCCTTGTAACTCCTCTAATCTTCTGGCGCTCATATGACCGTATGCATTGCGAGCGCCGTAAAACCTCTACTAAAAAAAGTCGGGAGTCTGAAGTTTCCCCTGCCTTCCTACATTTGTCGTCGTTTACACTAGGGCTGTCGGTCACCAATGTGCCGACCTATTCCTCTATCCAAAGAGGCCAACAATTTTGTTTTTCTGCTTATTGTTCCTTTATCGTACACACAAGAAAAGGACAAAGAGACGAAAGTCACGATATCTACAAAATTATTAGAAAATTTATGATCGAGATCTGCTACCGCCTCAGAAAATAATTTACAAAAGAAAATAAACAAAGAAAAGGAAAAAAAAAAGAAAACAACCCCACACACAATGCTAGCATCTGCGTTTGTTACCATTTTTTTTGTCCAAAAGTTGCCAAAAGTTGCCGCAAAAAAGACAAAAGTTGTCATAAAAGTTGCAATTAATTTTCAAGCATTCAGCTCTATGTGACGACATATAGTAAAGCAAATATGTTGATAGAAGCAACTTAATGTAAAGCACAAGAAATTTCAATATGTTCTGTTTTAATCATCCGGAATAACATTTGCAGCCACATAGAGTGCAAAAACGTGAAAAATGAAAGTTTCGCAACGGAATGAAATTTAAATTAGAAAGGCAAATAAACAACCACAAAAATCAACAAATAAGGGCGTGTGTCCACCTATCCAAAGATTGGTCGTTTTGACCCTTAACGTGTGTAATTCAAGAAAAAGTACAGGAATTAGATGTAAATTATAATTATGGAATCACACACAAGGCGCCTGCCAGTGTCAGTGTCAGTATTCCGTTTTGGTGGAGACACGCTCTAACATAACACATTTATATTTTGTAAACGTAGGAACAACATCAAATTAAAATGACATTACGCTATATAAACACAAAGAAGGAACGAAACCAACACATCAGAACAATAATGAAACAAACATTAACTCACCAACAAATTAAAACAACAAAGAGGAGAAAATAAAAGGCAAACAGCAATACAGAACGGTATGTCGTAATGTACATACATTCTTGGCATGAAAATTACAATACATGGACACCTTAAAATAATCAACATACATGTCTAATATGTTATGGAGTAATTCCCAAAATCACGCCCGCTACACAAGACCGTGTGCATGTTACAAAGCTTATTTACAAAATGATTATTTACAAAGATTACTTACAAAAGAAAAACAAAAGAAAAGAAAAAAACAAAGAAAAAAAACCCAGCAACAACAACAGTCCCACTCACAATGGCACGTGCATGTTACAAAGATTACGAAAGATCAGCGACATTGATGGAATGCACTTGTGCAGTTTGTCTGCCATCCAATCTCAAACAAATCCAAACTGTCTTTCTCAATTAATTATATTCTATTCCTTTTCTCATCAATGCATCAAAGCTTTTTACTTCCGTGCATGCTCCCACGTTATCATAAGTGCAAAAACGTTTGGTTTTTTAACTCGTTAAAAAGGGCGCTGTAGAACCAAACGTTATTACTAGGAACTCTTCTTTTCCACAGTCTATTCACGTCTCAGCAAAGGTTTCAACAAAAAACGACAAATAGAACATTTCAAGACCAAATATGGCTTCACTTCTACTTCTGGCCTTCGTTGAACCATTCTACTCGGTGGTATCCTGACTCAGTTCCGGTAAACGATTTTGTCTTCTACCCGTGCGTTCGATCGGACAAAAGCACAAGAAGGCGAGATGTCTGAGGCAAAGGTCGTGCCTGTAACGTCCAAAGACTTCCAGGAAGTATTACAGCAAAGTCTGTCAGACAGGCGACGCGCGCTAGACGAGGTCGAGGAGGGAAGCAACACGTCACTGGTGGAAGAGATGGCGGAAATATTTACTGCCGAATATGTCGATGACGAAGAAATCAGCCCGGAAGAAGGAGCGGGCCAAATGTGTGAAGTTCCTGTCGTGAAAGACTGCTCCGTCCAGCAAGCAGGTGACGTCATACCGGAAGAAATCACCCCTGCATGTTGTATTGCTGGATTTGACGTCGTTCGAACGGAAGGGCGAGGAGATTGCGTAGCTACAGACGAAGTGGTGGTAGACCTGGATAATAACAGTAACAGCGCCAAGCTTCCGTCTGTCTCTGAGTTGCATAATGGCAGTCAAGCCCAAGCTCTGGGTGATACGTGTTTTCCAAAACCGTATGGGCAGGGAAAGGCTGAGAGTGTGGGAGAGGATAACTGTTTTGAGGGAGTGCGGGAAAGTTTGAGTAGTGAAAGTCCAGTTTGCGAAAACATAGTTTCTTCAGTCGATTGCGTATTAGAGAAAATGTACTCAAAACAAAATGAATCGTGTGGATCAGATAGTGAGACAGGTTATGAGGAAAACTGTGAGCTCGTGGTCCAGAAAGATGATGACGATATTGCTGCACAGAAAGAACAGTTGGCTGGAGAGAAGTTACATTTTCGAGAAAACAGCCCTGCCCTTGAGAACGGTAAGCCAAACAGCACCCAGCAACCGGAGGACTGCACCAATGAAATTGTCTCCAATGAAAATCAAAGTGATGACATACACGAGGTCGTTCCACAAGACAGCAGTCGCAGTTGTAGCAGCCACAATGTCACACGTTCCGAAAAGGAGGTAAACCAGGAGAGAGAGGTAATTACAACTGACCAACTTAACGAGTTTCCAAACACCGCCCAGGCACATGCTTTACAGTTCACAGAAGCCTTCCAGAAAGCTCTCCAGAGCGCGGAGGCCAGACAACAGTTGGATACGTCAGAGCGCCAAAATAAATGTGCACAGGAGCACACGGCGGGGAGACCCGCGCGGAGCGCGAAGAACCGACTCTCCGAAAGGATCAAACTCCTACAGGAGCAGCTCAGGCAGGAGATCGCGTCTAGCGAGTCGCGGCCCAGACAAGTCGAGCGACTTCAGAGACGCCTGATGGACGCCGAGGAGATGTCGGCGAGCGGGAGGGGCGTGCGGAGACATCAGCGGAGTGTGTCCCGGTCAGACAGGACCTCCCACACACACGCTCAGAGAGCCCGCCGCTCCATGACGCCGGGGAAGAGAGAGAGGCCGTTCCGACACTGGCTGGGAGTGGCTAAGTGCGTGACCCCCGACTGTAGGTTCATCATCTCCTCCAGGGAGGACCGGGCCAGTCTGCCTTCGTCTTCCGCGCGGGCGGGAACTGTGACCGGGGCGGGGGCAGGCAAGACGTCTGCTGGTGGGTCGGCCAAAGCCAAAAGAGCCAAATCGCAAGACACCATTCAGGAAGAAGAAGAAGAAGAGGGATCGGCTCCTAACATCTCGTTTTCAATAGACGCCGATGAACGTACAGTGTCTGGTAGTGAAGAAAGGAAGATAACCGGTCATCCTTCACGGCAAGATACATCCAGCGTAGCGTGTGCTCAAAACGTAAACGAGCCGGTGTCAGCACACACTGATCTAGGTTATAATGAGACCTGGCACGATCTTTCTCGGTCTACCGAACAAACTGTTGAAAACGGTGTGTTTCCCCACTCACAGTGCGAGGGGTCACCGATGAACCCTTTGGATTCTGAAGCAACAGATGTCCAAGTCAGTCCTGTCGTAAGGTCCGTGCCTCAAACATCCAGTGCGGCTGATACAGTGTCTGGTGAAATAAAAAGCTTGCCCCTTGTGACCTCCGCTGTTGCCAACTTAAGTCTAGGGGACGAGCAAGCGCCAGGATCAAGGTGTGCTGCCGAAGAAACTGTTAAATCTGGTGCTTCCGACCTAGGCATCCACCACAAAGATGCCAGCACAGCTAGCTATGAATTCGACAAAAGCCAAACCTTGCCTACCTGTCTGAGCGCTAATGGCAGACCAGATGTCCCAGTACTGAACACACGCAACCCCAATGTACCTCCGAGTAATTTCACATTTGTCGTCACCTGCCCTTGTAATGCCATGAAAGAGAAAACAGGTTCCGCGCACAGTAAGCTGAAATGGAACACCGCTCACTTCAGCCTGTACGGCAATACTGGCGACATTTCGAGTTCCCCGGCCAGCATCTCTAAACGTCTCTTGCCAGATGACTGTGGCTCGCCACTGTCAAATAAAGACACACAAGTTATATTTCGTAGATCGTCAAAACTGGGGAAGAGTCAGCATGACCGTGAAGACACGGGATCTGTCTCGTTTAGCAGCACCCTCGAGTCGCTGTCTCCTCCTCTCGAGAAGACCACCAAACCGATGACGTCAGCGGAAGCGGACAAAATACGCGGGCCTCCGGGCAATGACGCCACGTCACCGCCGCTGTCTGCGAGCTGCCGCACACGCTACACGACACACACCACGTCTCCTCCTTCGCAGCAGCAACACAGGGGGATCAGCAGCAGAGCGGTGGTCCGAGAACCGACCCCCTACCACCCCAGACCGCCCGGGTACAGTAGTAGCAGCGCCCAGCACAAACTACTGGAGAATCACGGGAGAGCGCGACGTCATCACAGCCGCGCCAAAGAGAGGTCCGCGTCCCGTCACGGCGCCGCCCGCCGGACTCATCCTCTCGCCGCCGACTACAGAGTGATACACCGCGCGCACTCCAGGACCGTGGGGCGGGGCGTGGACAGGGTGGAGCTCAGGCCTCCTCCTCCTCCCGGGCGGGAAGACGGGTCAGGGGAAGAAGGATCTGCTGGAGCCGGCGGGAACGTGTTCAGACGTCTGCAGCTGAGGCCGTGTGAGGTGGCCGTTTACCCGTCCAGGTCTCGCGGCTTGACCAGTCAGGCGGAGGTGGGCAAGGTGCTGCGTCCCGAAGTGGCCGAGAAGCTGCTCCAGAAGGTCAATAGGTCACAGAAGAAGCGGAGTGGCTGCAAGTACATGGCTGTAACGGTAAGAGCAGAAAGAAGGGTAGAAGCTTTTAATGATCATATTATATTGGGAAAAAACATGAATTATACTTATAAAGTACTTTATATAGCGAGTACTATTAATACACATACACAAACAAGCACATACAAACACACGCACACTCTCACACACACACGCACGCGCGCGTGAGCGCGCAGCACAAACGTACAGAGAGTGAGAGAGTGAGAGAGGGAGAGAAAGAGAGAGAGAGAGAGAGAGAGAGAGAGAGAGA